AACATTTTAATACAAGAAAGAATATAACTTTTCCTAACAATACGTCTCAGGAATCTTCAAAGAATCAACATAATCAGGTCTTGGGTGGCCTAAAAACTATTCCCTAGCCCAAAGAACACCTAGAAAAGTCACTTATAATATTTTCTGCTCAGGAAATGGATAAATAAAAGGTATTAAAGCATATACAATATCTATTGTTAAAAAAAAAAAAAAAACAAGCCCAAAAAACCAAAAATCCAACAAAGCAAAAAACCAAAATAAAACCACAAAGCGCTTTTTAATTGAAACCAAAGTAAAATGTGAAATACTTCCTTAATTTCTGAGACTGCTGAATGCCATGCCATGCTTGTTTTAATAATTACATGGGCAAAGAAACAAAGCCAGAAACAAATTCTAAGTCCTTAAAGGACTGTTTGTTAGAAATAAGGGATAATTTCTTTGTCTCTAGCAGGCTAAAAGTTACTAATGTATTCAACTGAAATAATTAATATTTCTTCTGATGACCAGAAAGATAAAGAGAACAAAGAAAAGCTCCCACTTGTGTGCTGAGCTTCCACCCCTCTTTTGCAAATGAACTAGCATCAAGATGAATAACCACCTGACTATCTCCAAAGCTTAACTAGGAACCTTTAAAAGCAATCCAGGATCTCTCTCATGTGATGTGATGCTAGTGCTGGAATAAAATCTTGTGGCAGAAACATGATTACAGAGCTCCCATGCAGTCTGAGCCACAGCTGTCCATCAACAGCAGCACTGCCACATTTTCTCTCACCTGTGTGAAATCAGATGCACCCAGATTCCTTCAGGTCCTGATGCAAGGCAAACCTGCAATGCTAGGTAATGCCTTAACACTTTTCTGAGGCCGAGTTGGAGAAATAAATTTCCCCTAGCTGTGGTTACTAAATTTGGGGAGATGCATTTGCATCATGGAGAAGAATGGAAGGCACTTGTAGAACATGCCTCTGACTTAGGAGGAGAAATGTGTGCAGATGTGTGTTCACACTCTTTTTAAAAAACCACAATAATAAAAGAGAATAAATATTCCCAATAATGAAAGCAAAAGCTCTCTTACCTTTAACACCTGAGAGCAACACTTGATAAACATTTCAAGGTCAGCCACATGCTCCACTACTTCAGAAGCTACAATTACATCAAAGGTTTCCATAGACTCTTCCACAATCTCCTCCAGTGAACTGGACTTGTACTGTATTCTCTCGGCCAGGACTGGATCAAATGACTTGTGCTGATCTGCTGTTCTAATGTTGTCCTCCACAGGATCAATTCCAGTAACTGAAGCTCCCAGTCTACCTAAAGGCTAATAAAAAAGAGTGTAATTTATTCTCTGCATGAAAACAATTTACTTAAAGGTTTCTGAAACTTTGCAATGTACATACAAGATGCAGAATGCATCAACACAAGACAAACAACAGTAAATTATGAGCTCTGATCCAGCAGTTTTATTTTAAATGTTTATTAAAGCAAAAACACCTTTGGATTTGGGAAAGGTGGTGTTAATTTTCTTAGAAAATTATATAGTGGACTATACACACATCTAAATTGTCTTTTAGAATAATTTGTTCTCAATTCATTTTGTTACAGCAAATAAAGATTTCTTCCACTTCTACTCTCTGATACAGGAAAAACAAAGAGGGAAAATCAACACAGTAATTAAAAGGGAGAAAACAATGCCCTATTTAATTACTGTCATTACTTTCTTCAACATCCACCTGTAATGGTAAATCCTCATATCTTTTTAATGGTTACTTAATATGTGATTATCTCTGGGACTTTCTCACTGCTGAGAACTAAACACTGATGTTTACTAGGATAGCATCAGCCTTGGCTGTCACTCAGGTTTCTCCAGTGTCTTCTTACTCCAAGGTTAGCACCTCAGTCATCACCTCTTCTGAAACTGACACAGGCTGTAGAACATGACCACATGTATGATATTCCAACCTGAAATTCACCGCTTGCTCAGCCTGAGAAGGTGATGCAGCACACCAGTTTTGCCAGCATTGTTTGAGGGACCCCTCTCACAAGACTACAAGATTTTGCTCAAAAGAGGAGAAAAAAAAACAAAGAAAGAAAACATGGGAGAAATTCCTTTGTAACACCTCACTTCAGATGCTGATGAAGTTCCCAGAGTAAGGCAGCCAGATGTGTAACCCTAAATTCACAAACCATCCCCATCCCTAGTTCATTGATGGGACACAGCACTGTTCAGAGCCTGTGTGGACAGTGTTCCACCACAAACAGCAACTTCTCAGTCCCAAGTTTGTGCAGACTTCTCTGGAAGCCACTGTAACATCAGCCCCTTTACCACAGCAATCTCTACTGACACAGGACAGGTATGATTTGGGCGCTTGATGTTATTCCATGCATTTCCCATGAGATCAAATCAAAGGAGAGAATCCCCACACCCATGTAAAACACTAAAGATAAGCAGTTCAAATAAATGAATGTGTAAGAACAAGTTTATAACAAAAATTGTTTCTTTGGTAATGACGATGTCATGATTCCAGATATTCCTGCCTAGACTTACAAAGTAAAAAAAGAAAAATAAAGGAAGAAATATTCAAGGACTGTTTCATCATTTTTCCCCCCTCCTTTCCTTTACAATGCTTGAAATCTTATTTTCCTGATTTAGAATCTCAGAATTTTAGAACTTCTCACTACCAACTCCCTCATTCTCTGTAAACCACCACCACTATGCTAACCAAATACTCTATGGGCTTTTTTTGGATGAGTGCACTGCACTCTACTCAGTAACTAGCACATCATAGAAGAGAAAAAGTCCTCCTTGGAGGACTAGAAATTAAGCAGTGTAATTAGTACAACAATTCAAATACCTTGCACGCCTTTTTAGAAGAAAACTCAGAGCTCACTGTTTCTTACCTCACTCAGCAGTCCTCCTCCACAGCCCACGTCAAGAATCCTGATTCCAGAAAGTGGATTTCCCAGATGATAATTACCACTCATGCTCAACAGAGTATCTCTGAAAGAAAAGGGATGTGATTAAAGTTGAACCCACAAGGTGCTTCAATAAATGCTGTGGTTATCTTGAGCACTGGTAATTGGCTTTTTTTACAGTATTTTCTGAGGTCATACAGAAATAGTACATATTAAAAAAAAAAATCTGTCTTCAAAACCATACCTAATAAATGGCACTCTAATATCATTCATAGAATGAAGGGCTGCATATTCTCCTTCTTCATCCCACCACTTATGTGCAAGGAGCTGGAATTTTTTCATTTCCTTTGAATCCACTGATGAGTGTGAAGTGCTGAAAGGTCTCTTCACAGTGAACCTAAATAATGAAAGCAGAATGTCATTAAACCAATACTAATATTTCCTGTCAGCTGAAATATGGGAAGAACAAATACTGCACCAGAAAATGCAAAAAGGTAAAACTCATGTTCCTTTAGAGATTCCAGTTCCACTTGTTTAGTAGCATACAGATATTATACATGTATGGGTAACATATCTTCTCAAACAGATGGCTGCATGCTTGTCATTTTTAAGCTGGCAATTAGTAAAACAAGAAGAGGCCACATCAAACATTCAAACGTGTGAGATATAAAAACGACTCCACGTGACACTGGCACGAAGTCACGAAGTCAAATTAAATTGTTACAGAAAAGAGTAGCCCTCATCACACAGGGTTATTTTAGCTACAATACTTACATGTTGCTTTTCATTTCAGTCAGAGAGACAGGCAAGCTACTACCAAATTTCAGTTGTCTTTTCCTGTTGGAGTCCTGAAGGATATCTCTCAGACCTGTCTGAAAAGACAGATCAGCATGGTCATCTGCATAAATAAAAGACATCCAAACGGAAAGCATCAGCTTTACAAGAAGTCAGAGACAAAACACCTAGCTGTAAGAGTGCTGCTCTAGCAGAACACTAACCATGCAAATCTTTGCACATTTGCTCACTATTGTACTTAGGGAATTGGGGATTAAATAAAAGAATGTATGCTAGTTCACCACCCCTGTACTCCTCAAATGATGTACAATAATTTGTACATAATTTCCAAATTAGGAGACTGAATGGAAAGAGGTTTTTTGCAACTGAAATGTTTCAGTTAGTGTAAATTTCCCCAAAATGTTTACCCTGACCGTGAGCTGTGCACACACACACACACTCAGCAGTGCTGTGTTTATTATGTGTGGGAGAGACATACACAGCTGCACACTCATTTTGCGTTGTACGAACCGGTAAGGAAACCTAAGCAAAAAGCCCCCACGGACGGAGCACAGACAGGCCAGGAACAATATGCTGCAATTGCTGTCCGCTCCTGCTCAGCCCAGGCTGGCTCGGCGAACACTCGCTCACACCCAGCTGCTGCCTGGTCACCAACAGCCCCGAATCACAGCGATGCCTCGCTGTACCCAGAGTAAACCACCCCTGAAGACGATTTTAGGCCGCAGCGAGCGATGGAGCGATCTGGACACTTCCGGACTGCAAAGGAGGCGGCAGGGGAACAACACCTTCCCGGCCGGCCGGCGCCGGGCGGAGAGT